TCATAACAATGATTGTCTATAGCCAATACAGATTTTGGAGTTAATAAAGTCGTATCTCTTTTCTAAAATAGTAGGCACCATTGACCAATTAAAGCAAGCAACATTGCAACACACAAATTAATACCTCACATACTTTCTCCATATATGATGTTGGCTCTTATGATCCACACTTAGAACTACCAGCAACATCTTATGTTATTGTGGATTCTAATAACTTTGTAACTGCTGCAGTAGCTAAAGTTCACATGAACTTTGGACCAACAAAAGCTAAATGGAGAGGTAACCTTGAAGTATTGATGTTGGCTAAAAATCAAAGACTCAACATTATTTTTCCCTATTTTGATGCCTTAGTAGTAGTCATATCAATCCACCATCCTCAGGCAGGACTCTTCTAGAAATATAAACATATTCTAGAGTATATACTTAGTTAAGTATTTTTTTTGGATGCAAATATTATGTGTGTCAATAGAGAAAACAACCAACTATTGCATGCTCTAGCTTATGTAACTTGTCAAAGGGCTGAAAGATCCCCAAATACTGAATATGAGTCTTCATATACATCACCTTCATAAGTTAATAGAATTATCCTTTTTTGCCTTAAAAAATCAAGAGATTTAAAAAGTATATCTTATAAATTATACAATATATGTATTCCAAGAGTTGTTTTTATCTAAAAACTAGTATTTTGCCTAAAAACTAGCCCCGCGTGCACCCCTGCCCATGCACACGACCAGCCCCACGCCCGCCTATGCACGCCCAGCCCTGTGCCCACACGGGCCCGTCCGCCCGCCGACCRCACACACGACTAGTCCTATGCCCGCCCAACCCTGTGCTCACACGCACCCGCCCAACTGCCAACCACGTACACGACCAGCCCCGCGCCCGCCCACGCACGCCCAGCCTTGTGCCCGCACACACCCGCCCGCCTGCCATCCACGCACAAACGCGAGCCCCCTTGCCCGCCCACGCACGCCCAGCCCTGTGGCCACATGCGCCCGCCCACCCACCACCCACTGCCCAGGCCCAGCCCCCCCGGTGCATGCCTTCCTACCCACCACCCGAGCCCACCATAATAGTTAGGATTATTGTGTTCTCCATCTCTTTGGTCAATTTCTATGTTCTTCTATAATTTTAGGTGTTTTTCTATATTTTTTCTGATTTTGTTTTCAATTTCTATAATTTTTTGTAATTTCTATGTTGTTATGTATTTTATATTTGAAAATGTTCAAAGAACATGAAAAATGGTAATATATTAAATTCAGTTAGTCTGTTTAACGTCAATTTTGTAACATGGTGAGTTTTGGATGTTTTGAAAAAGTTGTGAGTTTAAGAGAATTTCTAAAAGGTGATGGTGGGTTTTGGACAATTTCCCTCATATTTAAGATATGTAGCAACCATTCCATTGCAAGTGTGAAGTATTGTTTCACGAATATTGGAAAATGGAGTAGGCATGGTGGTACTATATATATTTTGGTGCACGCCAATAGTAGTGATGCATTGCCTTGCCCAGTTGCTACTATGGTAATATTTTACCAGGATGGGTCTAAGGTGTTGGTGATGTTCATTGGGGATGACATGGTCGTCCTCCTCATTTGGATAGGATAGCATACTCTAAACTAATTAACTAAAGGATAACGACATAACAGTATCAATCATTGTGCGCTATATCTCCTTTTTAATGTCCAATTGGCAATAAGAGAGTGTAGTAGCCAACTCAGTAAAGTTTTACATGAATAGGAGTAAGGGGTTATCTTAGTTTTGAGGGCGCTTGACAACCATCACAAATGTATAGTATTGTTTGATAATSAAAGAAATATATATTAGGTATGGGGGTGGTAGTTATATTTTAACTTCCTTCCCGTATTGGCATTGCATGCCTTAATTGCCAACTTGGTAAAAGTTTACCAACCTGAGACTAAGGTGTGTGTCAAATCATTATGGATAAAATTTTATACCTTTAAAGGGATACATCTTTAGGGAGGACTACCAAAGTGTAGATAACACAAAGGGCAATTTGGGACCATGTACTAATTTGGATAGTTACATTTCGGTTACCCTCTTAATGGCATTGCACCTGATAGCACGGTGGGTCACGATTGTTGGTTACTTTTTGGTCACCCTCTGCCTTTAGTAGTCGTGCATGCCCTGGCTGTTACCTTGAAAAAATTTGATCAGGATGGGTCAATAGTGTTGCCCTGGTTTGTTTTCCATGGACGCGACAAATCTAAATATGAATAGTATGATTCATGGAGACACTTTAATGAAACTTAATGAAAGGGATCTGTTATTATGTCATCCATCATCTGAATATATGGTTATAAAGTACATATAGGTCCAATTCAAAAGTATAAATCCCAACCCAGCTGTAGCAAATTTCAAAAGTCCAGATAATGTCAACAAAAACAGATGATGGRCAGATTCCCAAATTTCACTCTACTTTGCAGTTGTTATATAAGCTTCCAGTGAATATTTGCCTAGGTATAATTGGCAGCCTCCTGTATTGTCCACTGAAATTGTTGGAGCTGAGCCCTGACAACAATAGAAGAGAAAAAAAATGATAACTAAAAGAAAACAAAAAATGTTGCATTTTCAGGAAACRAACTCTTAATCATTGTCATGTTTCATGCCCTGACAACCACTTTTCCAGTTGGATTCCATACTGGACCCAAAGCACAAAGGATTTTCATGGATGTATCCCATAAATGTAGGTATGGACTAGGATTTAAGCAAGTAGTTTATTTGCTAAATAGCAATGTACTATATTAGAGTATTGGTTTGAGGGAGAGTGTTGGAGCATTCAGACTATAATTCATATGAATTATTAGTTATTTTAGGACAAGAACACGAATAAGGAAGAATACAAGGTTTTTTGTGTAAAAGTGAGCAAAGGGGGAATTGGGCAATTTGATTCCCCAATTTCATCATGTGATAGGAAGTTGTACCCATAACTATGTGGTTATGTCATATAAGCCAAACATCATAATTTTGTTAATATAAGAGGGGAAAATTTGAAGTGATTGAATAATGTTTGTTATGAGTGTACAACAAAACAATATGTGATTATTAATGTTTGTTATGAGTGATTATTACTAAACTATCATCTTAATTTTGGAGAGACATTTTCATAACCAAAGTAGATTAACCTTTCATAGAAGAAATTTTGCAAACACACTTGCTTGATCTTCTTTTCCATGTGTAAACTAATGTACACTCGTTCTCCAATGTACATTCAATAGGAATGAATCAACATCAAACACAACTTAACAAAATTTTTTATATAAAAATGACGGCCTATTTATTGTGATAAAAATACAAAAAGAACCAAAAATCAAATTTATTTGAAAGGAATTTTTGATTGACTATAACAAATTAAACTATCATACAAAGAAATTGTCAAATACCCGCTAGTGACACAGGTGTTCAAAATGATAACTTCCTCCAGTTAGGGAAGGCCTCAATGTATTGGCCAAAACTTTAGTCTAATGGATAAGGTAAACAAAATGATGGAGCAATGACAAATGCTGTACAAGAAACAAAAACAGTTAAGATGGGCCTTCACCTGGTATATATTGAGATAAGAATAGAAGTGAAAAGAACAACAATGCTACCTGGAAAATTCAACTTATGTAACAACAAGAAATGACCTCCAGCTGACAAGTTCCAAACCCTCTAGATTCGACCTCAACCACAAATTTGCAGGAAATGGACAACGAGACAGAGAGAGAGCAGGAGAGCGATAGAGAGGGGGAGGGAGACCGGGAGAGAGAGAGAGAGAGAGAGTGGGGGTGAGACAGAGGGAGAACGGGAGAGAGTTAGAGAGTGAGAGCGATGAGGGAGAATAGGAGAGAGGGAGAGCGAGACAGAGGGAGAACGAGAGGGAGAGCGAGACAGAGGGAGAACGGGAGGGAGAGCAGGAGAGAGGGAGAGAGAGAACGAGAGAAAGCAAGAGCGAGAGAGACTGATAGAGGGAGAGCGGGAGAGGGTGAGGGTGCAACAGAGGGAGAGCAAGACTGAGGGGGGCGAGGGAGGAGAAAATGAGAGTGTGAAAAATGGATAGCGAGAACGGGAGAAAATGAGAAAGTGAGAGCAAGAGAGACTAAGAACCGGAGACAGAGGGGAGCGAGGGAAGAGAAAATGAGAGTGAGAATGAGGGGCACCACTAGGGAGGAGAACTTGCAGTTGCAAAGAAGCAGCCGAAGAGAAGAGAGTTGAGACTATGAGAACAACGAAAGATAGTGAGAGAGGAGGGAGAGCAGCCGAAGTTTAATCGTCGAGGGAGAAGTTGAGGAAGAAACGTGAAGAAAGTTGAGACTATGAGAGACAACGAAAGAGAGAGAAGAATGAGGGCAAGAGAAAATAGGGTGGGCCCTGACGGGGTCATTTTAGTCCTTACAACTTAAGGTTAATTTTCAAATAAATATTATTATGACATGGAATCCCAGCTGCATTGTCACCTCTGATAAAAAACATAGGTAAGAGTGTAATACTTAAATGGCCTCGTGTTCAGATTTCTGCCTGCCCGTACTTTTCCCCAAATTAATATGAGAGATAATTCTCATGTACGGCCAAGCAACCATTCTGTTGCTTGGAAAACATATGGCCAATTTTTTTCATGCAGACGAATCCAATTTTCAACCACCATTGACTCTAAACATGGTGGTCCAATTAGCACCGACACCGTTTTGAGTAGGGAGGCCGATATTCCTGCCTTTCCACTCGTTCAATTTGGAGGACCATTTTCCATGTTGCCTTTACCTTCCCATTTGTATTATCCCTTTTATTGTATTACTATTGTAGATAAGCATGGCAAGCCCAAGGATCTTGAAGAAGTTGTATTCTATTCTTGTAAGGGCGGTGGCCCAGAACCAAAAATTGGACCGGGAAATGACCCAAACCGGCTAATGGATGATGGCATGTTTAATTTCTACGAGAAGTGGCAAAAGCGCTTCAAAGGTATTTTAAAGGAACAGGAGCCATCTGAGCCTCCCTGTTGATCTCATTACATTCAGAGTAGGCAAGATTGAAAGAGAGGATGGAGAACGGTCGACAACACAAACACGTAGTGATGCTTCCATTCATGGCACAGGGCCATATGATACCATTCTTAGCATTAGCCAGGCAAATTGAGCAACGAACAGGCTACGCCATCACCATCGCCACCACCCCCATCAACGCCGTTTACCTCCGGTCGTCCATCTCCTCCTCCACCACCACAACCACTACGACCATTCGTGTTGTCGAGTTGCCCTTTTGCAGTGCCGACCATGGTCTACCACCCAACACCGAAAACACAGAAGCCTTGCCAAACCATCACATAATGACCCTCTTCCGTGCCTCACAAACCCTTGAACCTTCCTTCCACAACCTTGTCTCCACCATCACCGAGAAATACGGCGAGCCTCCTCTATGCATTATCGCCGACGTCTTCTTTGGATGGTCAGTTGACGTCGCCATGCGGTTCGGATCATTCCATGTTGGTTTTACCACCTGTGGAGGCTATGGCACGGCCGCGTACATCTCTCTGTGGTTGAACCTCCCACACCGTCATACAGACTCCGATGACTTCACCGTGCCGGGCTTCCCTGAAACATGCCGTTTCTTGCGCTCTCAACTAAATCCAACACTGAGATCCGCCGACGGTACTGACCCCTGGTCTACCGTTTTCCGGAGAGAGCTACAACTATCTTTGCGTTCGAATGGTTTCTTGTGTAACACAGTCGAGGAGATGGAAACATTTGGGTTGGAAGCACTGAGAGCGGTTACGGGAATTCCAGTTTGGCCTATTGGACCTTTACAACCTCCAGCGTTTCTTAACCTTCCTTGTACTACTGATTCTAATCTATCATCCTCACGCTCGGTGAAGAAACACGGCATCGCACCTGAAAATTGCATCAAGTGGTTGGATTATCATCCACCTGGTTCGGTTCTATACATTTCGTTTGGATCCCAAAACACTATCAATCCTACCCAAATGATGGAACTAGCTATGGGTGTCGAGGCAAGCGGGAAGGCTTTCATCTGGGTTGTTAGGCCACCTGTTGGGTTTGATATAAACGGTGAGTTTAAGGCGGAATGGTTGCCGGAAGGATTCGAAGAACGTGTAACTGAGAGCAGACGAGGCCTTGTWGTGCGTACATGGGCACCTCAGCTAGAGATTCTGTCGCATAAATCGACAGGAGCATTTCTTAGCCACTGTGGATGGAATTCCAGTTTGGAGAGCTTGAGTCAAGGCGTGCCGATTATAGGGTGGCCATTGGTTGCAGAGCAAGCTTATAATTCGAAGATGATGGAAGAGGAGATGGGTGTTTGCGTGGAATTGGCAAGGGGACCGGACAGTAGGGTCCTGAGTGAGGAGGTGGAGAGAGTAATTGAGTTGGTGATGGGTGAGGGAGAAAAAGGGAAGGAGATGAAGATGAAGGCGAGTGAAGCTGCGAAAAAGATAAGAGCAGCAGTGAGAGAAGGAGATCAGTTGGGGTCTTCAGTTAAGGCACTTGATGATTTTCTCCAGACTGCTTTGTCAAAGAGACATGAAAATGCAGATGAGGCGATGACGAGGAGAGCCATAGCGGCTGGTCAATAGAGGATAAAACAGTGCCTCACTAATCCGACCAGGTTTTAGTTTTTTTTTTTTTTTTTTTTTCTTTGCTTTTGGCTTTTGGCTTTTGGCATTTAGAACAGAGAGAGTAAAATAGAGCTTTCGCTCAAGATCTGCAAAAGAGAACCCATTATCACTAGAAAAGGGTTTCAATGTTTAATTTTAACACAAGGTTATGCCCACGTACAGGATATCTCTGCACGACGGACTAGGTACGGGGAAATTCATCAATATGTTCATTTTCTTTTTATTTTATAATTATATCACTTTGTGAATTATATCTAATTTGGATTACTTGTTTAATTTAAATATTTAAATCAAGTTTAATTTTTTGATAAATTTAAATCAAATTTAATTTGTCTTTATGAAATTTTATTTGGATTAAAATTTTTTTGAATTACAAAGATTAATATAAGTCACATATTATTACGAAGATCAATATTTTTTATAAGTGGCTATGTGTATCTAAAGTTGACACTTTTTTGAGAACATTTTTGAGAGTGGAAAGACACGTCGACACATATGCTCTTGCTCTGAACATTTGCTTCAAAWTTTAAGCTTTTTACTGCTTTTCCCTGGTGATGCTGTGTGAATTCCATTATAGAAAATAAATCTTGTTGAATGGAATGGAATGGATTGGATGCCGTAGGGATCAGAATATAGGAGAGAGAGAATGAGAGTACAGGAGATAGAGAGATGTCAAAGGTTGAAGCTAAGGTCTCCGCTTATTGCTTTGGTGGCCGTGTCCTTGGGATCTTCTGCTGCCAACTATGAGACTGGGACCCACCATAATGAGATGTCAGATGTGTGGTGTGAGATCTCGTTGGTAGAGTGTTGTTGGAACGTGCATTGGTGGCCCGTATTTTCAGCATAATGAATTAAATCCTGAACTAGCAAAAGATTCCTGGAATTGGGAATTCATGTCCGACCCTCATTGGTAACGCTTATTGGCCCTCAAATTCTCTCAACAACTAAAAGTGGAGTTAACGTAACAATGTAACATTGCCTGCGATCAACGTCACAGAACAATTCAGCGACTCCCAGTGCCAGTCTGTGGTGAAAATGAGCTTTGAAGTTCTTTATCAACCGGTTATTCTCTTATATATTACCCCTCAATGGAATATCAAGTACACATAAAATCAAGCTTTATCTCTGCCAAGTAATATTAATAATAAAGAAACTATTCAGACATGAATATGTGTGAACGGATGGGAAGAGCTTGATTTTCTTCCAAATCTCCACAGTGAAGACACTACAAGAAAATTGACTTTTAGCAGCAGTCAAATGTCTTGTAAACTGATGCTAAAGGTTTTACCGGCAGTCGGCAAACTGCAGCTAAAACAATTGTTGTTAAAAATTCTAGCGGCAGTTTTCCTGACTGCCAGTAAAGCTTCAAAACTGCCGCTAGTTATAGTTTAGCAGCAGTCGTGACTGCCGCTATAGAGATGCACCGACTGCCGCTAAAACCACTACATTTTTTTTTCACACCGGCCCAAATATCCTGAAATTCGTTCAAAATAACCTGTAATTATTTTTAATTACTAAACAAGATTTTAATTTGCTTCAAATAAGCCATTTTATATTCAATCATCCAAACTGAAATGAAATACAAAAATACAAAATGCAAATTCCATTAATTCATTCATTCATTCTCAAAAATACAAATTTCGTCCATTTATTCTAAAAAATATCATGTTCCATTCAAAAGACTTTCTTTACAAAAAATAAAAACTCCAAGTAGGATTTCAGATTATCCTCAGTTTCAATGTTTCTATCTTTGTACTCTTGCAGCTTGGAGAACCTCCATTGATTTATAACTGCAGCATCCTGACAAAAAATAAAAACTCCAGTCATTATACCACTATATAATACACTGAAAAAATCCACCAATTACTGTTCCTTTCTACCCATTCTTATATGTGAATCATATCACATTGTGATCCCGGATGAAATTGCTACCCTTACAGCAAGAATACGAGGTTTCTAGAACAAGGCCAAATAGAATGACAAAATGATTGGCAAAAGCTCTAACTACAGATGAAGGAAAACTGAACAAGGATTGCAAGATGGCATAGCATAGATAAAGCAAAGCAAACACAATGGCATTCTTCATACCTAAGGTTGCTAGAAACGGCCATATAAACACCATAGGCAACACTGGTTGATAAGGGACTTCCTCAGCTTCACCAGCAAAAGACTTGTCAACAGCCTTTCTTGCATTAATCAAGGCATTCGTTACACCTGTACCAACCTGGAAGAAAAATATTCAACTTTCATCATGTACTTGCATTTACACAATTCGAGCCTTAAATATCTTTTTATGATGTCAAAAAAATCTATAATTGGAAAAGAAAAAAAATGAGGGTTGAACTTTTTAAGTCTAAGTGCTTTAAAGAACAAAATAAGTATAGATGGGATTAAGGGAATTGTATCAATCTCAAATATCAGAAATGCAGAGAAAGTTACAGCCATGTGTAATAAGAAGCATTAATCACTCACTTTAGAAACAATATCACTTTCCCAATGAATAAAATCCTGATCATGTCCAAAGAAATTAACTTGAGAATCTAATGTACGTAGAATAGTAATTGGATGAAGCCTCAACAACACAAAACACACACATCAAAAATACCTTAGAATATATCAAAAGCAACAGAAACATGGAACTTAGGCCTTAATACAAAACAGAAAACATTCAAAGGACTTTTTCTAAATATTGGTTCCACAAAGAACACCCTAACAACATAACCATAAAGAAATGCCAACAAATATGAACAAAGGAGAGGTGGACTGGATACAGATCTAACCTTTGGCATTTTTTGCAGAAAGTGGCCACCCAAAGATTTGAACCCATGTTCTCAATATTATCACCCCAAGATTTTGTCATTGCTCCTATTTCTATGATAATCATCCAAAAGAAAAACAAATGCTATTATGGATTCATTTGCAGTAGAGGGACTTCACAGGCAAGAGCTGTATTCATCCCCCCCCCTCCCCCTCACCCCCAAAAAATAGGCTAGTGACTGTTATGTTTCTTTGGGGGCAGGGGATTGCTTGTTTTTCTAGGTCTGATATGCCTTCGTCCTTTCTTTTTGTTTCATACTTTACTTTTCTTCTTTAATAGAATTTCTTGATCAATGCTGATAAAAAAAAATCCTGATCAAATGCCAGTAAAAAAATACAAAAGCTAAAACAAAATTAATATTCCTATCCTGTTTTCCTTCTCTGCATTCTTTAGGCTCAATTCAGAAACAGTATAAATATAAATATGTACAGTGCAAATACATTCAAATACAAGGTTTTGTATCCTTCATATTTGTATTTGTACTCATTCCAAACTGATCCTTATGTTTCTGTTTTTACAAGCTAATATGGTTCAAAACTTAAAAACATTATGAAAAGTCAACAGTAAAAAAATTAATAGGTCAAAGGATAAAAGCCTCACCAAAGAATATATCAGTTTCCAGAGGTTAAAACCAGATAAAAGGTTAAATCTAAATCAAAGGGTCTCCTAAGAAAACTGACATACCAGAAATGCGCCGGTTCCAACTGCAAAAGGCTTGGCTCCATTACGCTGCATAAAAGATCCAATACCACAAGTTAAGATGATGCATTTGGAAATGATATTTTAGACATTTGTGATTTAATTCAATAAATGCATTTAAAAAAATCAATAAAGTAGGTGAAAAGCAATAAATTATATGTCAACAATACCACTATGGCTCCTATTCTCTGTAAAAATGAATAGGATGTTCCAGCCAATGCAACCTGCAGACATGATTCCAAATATCAAGTAACTGTATGCAGAAACAGCTACTAAAATTCAATGACCTACTCCCCCCACCCAAAAAAAATTATAATTCAATGATATCTGTATAAATAAACAGTAAACTGAAAGGCATTATCAGGACAGTGTGGAAGAACTTAGCAATAGATCCAGCATTGACTGCAAGAGGTGGCTGAAGAGATACTGTGGGAGCAGGAAGACAGCAAGCATAAAATCTGCAATTATGGCCATAAACTAAGAAACAAATTGCATTAGCTAGATAAATGAACCAGTTTTTTATCAATAATATTAACAAATAAATCAGTTCAGAAAATATCATTTCAACTAATGAACAAAACCAGAATAATTATCAAGATAAGGGCTTTTTTGTATGCATACAAATCTGTATGTTTTGGACTATTTATATTTATTCCCCATCATTTTTTCAGATTCTGTCTTTAAACCTCCAAGTCATTAGGTTAATGCCAGCAAGGCTGCACCATGTACACTCTGTTTGCCAACTCCTTTTCCCAATTACAGTTCCATAATTTTTTGTTTCTGCAGTTAGGGGGTCAAAATTTGTCTCATCAGTGTGATGTTTGGAATCATTAAAAATGTTATTTCATAACCAACTAACAAAACTAAGACCTTGCATATTCCATGTGATTTGCAATTTTCAGAAGCTATAGCCACTTTACTAGCATAGTATCAAAGGATGACAGTATTGGAGTTTTCACAAAATTTATTTTAATTAAACCTTCTTTATGTACTTTCTTGGTTCTTCAGAGTTAAATTGATGAATAAAGTTATGTTCTAATCAATATATTGAGATTTCTGATTAATGGTAAGCGATGTATACATCTTCCTCTTCTTTGCCATTTTTTTCTTTTTTTCTTCAGTCCCTTGCAGTTTAATTGGTTCTTCGAGCTCTTCTTATCTTCTTTCCTTTGCAGTTATTCACCTGTTTTTTCACCTTTCGTCCCCAATTTCCCACCCCAAGGTTCCATATAATCCACCCCACTTCAGTCACCCAAATTTCAATTCCTTAAAACCAAATCAGCCCTTTATAGAATCCCAAATACATACCCAAAAATCTACTTACATATTCTTATATTCCCAAATTCCATTACATATAGATAACCATATTATGAGCACTCTTACTAAGTAAGCTAATGGTCACTTTACAGTGTTTATTACTCATTAGCTTGAAAATAAAAGAAAAAACTCAGGCAACAAAAATATATTGAATCTTTTCTATCTTCACTCAAATGAATGAGAAACATGGTAGAAACCCCATTGCTTACTCAATGAGAGCACACTTGTCTGATTGACACTCTTACATACAAGCGATCCACATTTTTTTATATAAACAAAAAGATAATCATATTTTGACGTTTTAAACTGCAAATGACTAAAATAACCAGAATCTGACACTGTGGTAATATTCAATGAGGTAATAAAGGATATTTGGTAATTTAATAGTCATTATGCAACAATGATTTGGCTATCAATTATCTATTCTACCAATGAAAGCAGACCAGTAAATTGTCATCCAAGAAAATTAATCTATTTCACGCACTTCCTTGTGGAAGTCGGGTTATTGTAATAGACATTCTTCTTCTAATACAGGACCTACCCCTCTAAATTAATGTAATAAACTTATATATGTCCTCTGCTATACAAATATAATAATATTCCTGTAAGAACTTTTCAAGTATCCAACAAAGTCCAGCATAAACATAACCAGAGAAATTTTAAATTAACAATTCATTTTCCTGTTGAAAAGGGCATACCACATCAGCTAAGACAAAATCCAGCTCCTTCATAAAATTCTCTCTACATCGGTCATACTCTGCAGCAGTCTGGAGTCATAACTCAAAAAGATTATGATTTTATAATTGGACAAACTTTAAGAATAAAATACCAGTAAAAAAAGAAGTCAAACAAAGAACACAAAATAATAACAGAAAAATAATTAATAAAATGCATTAATAGACTTACATTTTAGAGCAAAATAATTATGGCACAGTCAACCTCATAAAAGGTACATAAAGCTAATCTTAACAAGTGACAAAGGTCATTATCCAATGTTGGTCCCAGCACCCAGCTATCAGGGGTGTTGGGAGGGCTAGACTGGATGTGGTCCTAACCTACACCGAGGAGATGAGCATCTTGACCATTTAACAGTACTTGAGTTGGCTTGGATTGACTTGGCTCAATTAAAAATGTCATAAGGCTCTTTCTACTTCAATCTTTCCTAACAAGGCCGTGGATCGTATGGGTCCCCAACTAGTACAGTGTATAATAAAATAACAAAATGAAAATATTAAGATATGATAGAGGTTATATGTTCATTGACTCTCTCTTATCTTTATAATCTGGCTATCACAGATCAGCACCCTGCCTCAGAAACGTTTTCCTTCCCAAATCATCAGCAACTTTTAACTAATTAACTACATTCCAATAAAAATATAGCTTCAACTCCGCTTTAAATATCTATTAACTATGCAGAGTTCCAACTGTCTGAAGTTATTTTGAATATCTAATGAGGTTTGGTTGTTACACCAAAAAAACCGTTCACAAGTAGGAAAAGTTGGCCACCAACGGCAACACTGGCATTGGATTTGTCTGTTCTTCATGATTATCCCTATATAAACCATAACTCCTCTCTTCTTCTGCAACCCAGATCCGATCAAATTCTCCGGCCTCCCATCTCCTAAGTTCAAACATATCCAGTGTGTTCAAATGGCACCCAGAGGGACGGAGTTGGCTCTTGTGGCTATCCTCGTTGCTATGCTCTGGGCAGGGGCTGCGGCACAATCCTCAAGTTGCACGAATGTGATCATCGGCATGTCATCGTGCTTGAATTACATTACAGGGAACTCTTCAACCCCTGAACCTCAAGTGAGATAAGTCCTTGAACCCAAGAGATTTTAAATAGATTTAGGAAGTGAGGATGAAGTTCTGTAAGAGAACGACTAAAACATGTTGAGAAACAAGTGAAGAAAGACAAGACTATTGGAACTGAAAATCACAACACTTGAAACAGAGGATACAAAGAAAATGAAAAAAAAAATCTGAAAATAGAATAGTAATGTCGCTTTTGAAAGACAAGACTGAAATAATAAGATAAAATAAGAAGACAAAATGGAAGTTGATGCTGTGGAAGTGAAAGATTGAACCTTACCTGAGCGATCGACCACCGGTGGGAGGAGTTTGTGTCGTTGAGAGATCTGTCATCCAAAATAGTTTTCAAACTCTCCAATTTCATGGAAAAAACAAGCACAAATGGTTTGATTTGTTAAAAAAATCAATAAATGAAACTTGGATCGACAACTTACTCTATATAAAACCCTAACATCAAATAGAACCGTATAGCATATTGGAAGAAAAAGTACAAAAGCAGGTACTTCGAGAAGCTTATACTTCGATTCGAAGATTTTGACTTAACACAGCGAACGAGTGATAAAGTATATTTGAAGAAGTGAAGAAAAATGAAGGATGAGATAAACAACTCAAACCTGAGACGAGGAGGCTGTTTCGGAACAAAGAAAATCCAATGACGCAGAGAGAGGTCCTTCGTTGAATCAATAAGATTGTGGCCTGTTGCGTTGGGAAATGAACTCGAGCTTCGAGGTCTCCCAGTCTTACCGCACTCGGGGCTTCAGAGAGAGATGTTACTGCAGGTGAGAAATCAGAAATGGTTGACTGTGAGAGAGAGAGAGAGAGCAAAGCGAGAATAAGAAAGGGTCAGAAACTTGTTGTAGGATTGAAAGAGAGAGAGAGAGGAGAGCGGAGATATGAAAGGGTGAGAAATTATAAAAGCGGGAGGAGGGAGGGCATAGGTTCCGCGGGAAGTTAAAATTTATAGCGGCTGTCGCCCATGTATCAGTTAAAAAACTGCCGCTGATGCCCATTTTTATTGTAGTGAGATTAACGCATTGAACAGAAGAAAGAAAATAATACACCCAAGTGTCCTTTCGAAAGCTTGAGCCCATAGCTCTGTTTTATACTCTCTGTTCTAAATGCCGATCGAGAGCATAACAGAATATTGGAAAACAAAAGGATAAAATAAAATAAAAAGTAACCTCAAACTGTTTTCTCTGCAACTGCTATAGATCTCTTCTCCACCACCTGATCTGCTTTCCCAATCACACCCTCCACCATTTTCATTTCTCTTAAGAAGGATATCCATTTGCTTCATTTAAACTAGAGCTTCCTCTCTGCGACAAAGCAATCTCTAAAAAACTGTCAAGTGCCTTAACCGAAAACCCCAACTGATCTCCTTCTTTTTTCACTGCAGCTCTTATCTTTCTTGCAGCTTCACTCGCCTTCATCTTCATCTCCTTCCCTTTTTCTCCCACATCCATCACCAATTTAATTACTCTCTCCACCTCCCCACTCAAGATCCTACCGTCCAGTCCCCTTGCCAATTCCACGCAAACACCCATCTCCTCTTCCAACATCTTCGAATTATAAGTTTGCTCTGCAACCAATGGCCACCCTATAATCGGCACGCCTTGACTCAAGCTCTCCAAACTGGAATTCCATCCACAGTGGCTAAGAAATGCTCCTGTCGATTTATGCGACAGAATCTCTAGCTGAGGTGCCCATGTACGCACWACAAGGCCTCGTCTGCTCTCAGTTACACGTTCTTCGAATCCTTCCGGCAACCATTCCGCCTTAAACTCACCGTTTATATCAAACCCAACAGGTGGCCTAACAACCCAGATGAAAGCCTTCCCGCTTGCCTCGACACCCATAGCTAGTTCCATCATTTGGGTAGTATTGATAGTGTTTTGGGATCCAAACGAAATGTATAGAACCGAACCAGGTGGATGATAATCCAACCACTTGATGCAATTCTCCGGTGTGATGCCGGGTTGCTTTCCCGAGCGTAAAGAGGATAAATTGGAATCAGTAGGAGAGGGAAGGTTAAGAAGAAATGCTGGAGGTAGTAAAGGTCCAATAGACCAAACTGGAACTCCCGTAAATCTTCTCAATATTTCCAACCCAAATTTCTCCATCTCCTCGGCTGTGTTGCACAAGAAGCCATTTGAACCCAAAGAGAGTCGTATCTCTCTCTGGTAAACAACAGAACAGGGGTCAGTACCATCGGCGGATCTCAGTTTTGGATGAAGCTGTGAGCGATGGAAACGGCATGTTTCAGGGAAGCCCGGTACGGTGAATTCATCGGAGTCCGTGTGGCGGTGTGGGAGGTTCAACCACAAAGAGAAGTATGCGGCCGTGCCGTAGCCTCCACTGGTGGTAAAAACGGCATGGAATGATCCGACGCGCTTGGCAACGTTAACTGACCATCCAAGGAAGACGTCGGCGATGATGCACAGTGGAGGCTGGCCGTCTTGCTGGGTGATGGTGGAGACAAGGTTGTAGAAGGAAGGCTCAAGGGTTTGTGAGGCACGGAAGAGGGTTATAATGTGATGGTTTGGCAAGGCTTCTGTGTTTTCGGTGTTGGGTGGTAGACCATGGTCGGTGCTGCAAAAGGGCAGCTCGGCAACACGAATGGTTGTAGGGGTAGTGGAGGAGGAGATGGTCGATCGGAGGTAAGCGGCGTTGATGGGAGTGGTGGCGATGGTTATGGCGTAGCCTGTTCGTTGCTCAATTTGCCTGGCCAATGCTAAGAATGGTATCATATGGCCCTGTGCCATGAATGGAAGCATTACTACATGCCTGTGTTGGCGACCGATGTCCATCCTCGTCTTCAATTTTGCAAACCYTATACGTAAGAGATAACAGTGAGTCAGTGAGGCTCCTAACCTAAATGGCTAAATRGCTAAAACCTAATCCTTGCTCTCTCTCATTTTAATGCCGTTTCTTTAATAGTTTATTATTTTTTTCAAAAAAGTTAAATAGGTTGGGGCTAAAGTGGATTCGAACATAGGTCCTGTTCCCTGGCGAAGGCCCAAACATGAAACGGTGACATCGGGTCGGCTACACCCTACCTTGGGTCAACCCATATCAGTGACTATCCAACTTGCATGTGATGTCCGGATGGACAAACAGATGACACATTCCCCATTCTCTCACGCAGAGAACGACTCACTCAAAAAGCCAGCAGCTAAAATCTGAAAACAAAATAAAATTTTGGGTAGTCATAACGTAAAGCATGGCTTGGCTTCAGGGAAGTGTTATCTCTTTACGTCTGTTCTTTGTTCTAACTCAGATCAAATCTCCTTCTGATTCTGCTTTAGTTAAGATCTCTTCGTAGGTTCTTTAGAGTTTTTGATCTTTTCGTTGGTCCTTTTAGAGTTTTGGGTAGGGAATCGATTTCTCTGTTTTCATACGACGTATGCTCGTGGTTTCTGTCTTGCCTGGGGTGATGTCTTGGCTTCTGGGAAGTGTTTTCTTTTTTCTTGTGTTCTTTGTTCTAGATCAGATTCAAACTCCTTCTGGTTTTGTTTTAGTTAAGGTATTTTCGTAAGTTCTTTTAGAGCTTTAGTCCGATTGTAGGTCATTTTAGAGTTTTGATCTTTGCTTTCTTTTCTTTTCTCTTTTTCCTGGTGTAGGAGTTCGTGTTTTGTAATTATTAGTAGGAATTCTGATTTCGGTTTTCTTTACTTCGTTCTTTTTAAGCTAGATTCATATTATTGTAGCAGGATAGGCTGCGATGTAATGGGAGTAAAAGGATCCAGGGAAAAATTTAAGAGGCGAGCCCAAAAGCTAATTGAGAATCAGATAGCTAGAGAACAACTGAAAGTCATCGATGATGGAAAAGTTCAAAGCAAATCAAGAAAGGAAACTTTCGACAAATCTGATGCTCTGCATAAAGAAGTAAAGACGGAAGATAGCCATCTGTTAAAAATTACAAAAAGTACTGCTTGCATGCAGGAAAAAATGCCTGAAATTATCAAAATGTTCCTAAGGAAAAATCCTGAAAAAATAGGAAGTCCAGACAAAAAGGGGGCAGGAAAGTGTTATGCAATAACCAGGAAATCGAAGGAGATTAAAACCCAAGTGGGGAATGGCAATACTTGGAGTTGTGGTACAAATCCAGTACAGTTTAAAGGCAAGGATCACACAGGTTACAAACTGTAACGATTCTCAGACCATCTACATAAATTGTAAGGATCAGGAAAAAACCATTCATGGTGGTCCCTTATGTCATTTCTTTAATGCTGTTAATAAAAAGGAATGGAGCCTTAATGTAAATGGAGAAAGACGTAAGCCGTGGGCAGCTGAAGTGGATAAAATGTTAAAGAACTTAACGGTTAAAATTCAAATAGCAAGCTCCAGTGATTACATATGTTATGGGGAAATCAAAAAAGAGAAAAGGAAGATGCACGCGAGCCCAAATGAACCAGCCTCTTCATCCAATGGAAATACATTGGAAACTGAAGGAAGCAAGCTAAGCCCAAATGAACCAGACTCTTCAACCAATGGAAAAACTTAGGAAACTGAAGGAAGCAATAAACCCATGACAGAGTTTCATGTGGAAAGAAACTCGAATAGGTGTAAATCAAATAAATTTAACAAACAATATAAGTTCTCTTCATGCGTGAATCGAGAGAATTTATTGCTCTGCGGTGGAGAACCCAGAAAAGAATTCAAGACCTCTCATTGGAACTATCAGATAACTTCGGAAATAAAACCCAAAAGAAATCAACATTTAGAGAAAGTGGAGAGAGCGCCTAAGGGACATAGGAGTGTGGAAGACGAGAGGTTGGACGCGCATGAACAGTGCATGATTACAGCTACAGAGAAGCATTAATGAAGAAAAACACCATTCACTATGGAAGGTACATGCAAGAAACGAACAGTCGCACTTTCAAGTTCAGGCACGTGGTGAGCATTGAGGGTGTAAATAGGATAAAACCTGAGAGTGGAGACAACACAAATTCTTGGTTTAGTGAAGGGATGAGAGATTCATCATATGGATGCCCAAACCCTACAGGTAGGTTGGGCGGAATTTGAAAAATTTCTCTCTCTCATATGTGAATCACATTCCCTATTTTAGAAAAACTGTATTTTCAAAAATCAATCTTGAACCTAAACCGAACCAAATCTGAAACCAAAAGGTAGGAGAGGGATATACCTAATATGGTTTAGTAATAACCCCCAACAAGGTATTCACACCCAAGGAGAATGAATACCAAAGACTACTCCCACTGAATATGACACAGCGTAGGGTGGAGCAGAATCAGTAGGATAGTTCTTCAGCAAAAACCGAATTCTTCAGCAAAAATTCAATGAAGGGCAGGTGAACACGACTTCTAATTATCTTTTCTCCCAAAAGATAATATCAAGAACTCTTCTTGATCGCTCCTACAGGTGGAGATCGAACTAGCAGAGGCGGCAAGAGCAAGAAAGGATGCAAATCTAAAGCAGTCAAACTACAAGATTTCTTTCTTGTGATCTACGAACCAAAAGATCTCTCTTGCTTTCTATGTGTTTTTGGTTTGCCCCTTGCTGCTCTATTTATAGCCTTTAAAAAGAGGTTCTCCTAATCCCATTAGAAGTTTCCTAATCCAAATATTGTATTCGGATCTAGACTCTCTTTAAGAGATAAGGATAAACCCTTATCTTATCTGTAGATAAAGATCAGTCCTCCTAATCTAATTAGGAGTTTCCTAATCCAATCTTTATTTGGGTCTGGACTCTCTGAGTGGATAGGGATAATCTCTTATCCTATCTGCTGATCTGAATCTCAAAATTGCCCTCTTTTAATTAATTAGGGAACATCCTTCATGCCCTCGATCTCTTCGGGAGTCTTGGAAGACATACCCTTGGAAAGAGCGACTCCATGCCTGAAAGGAGCATTTCTTTTCTTGGAATTCTCCATGCTGTATCTTTTGACTATCTTGTCAATATAAGCACATTGGGATAATCCTATTATCCTCTTCGATCTATCTCTATAGAGCCAAAGACCCATTATGTAGGAGGATTATCCAAGATCTTTCATGGAGAATTGCTGTGAAAGCCATACTTTCACCGTAGTCAACATTCCTACATCATTCCCAATGAGTAGAATGTCATCTGCATATAGAACCAGGAACATAACCTTATCCCCACTAGATTTCCTATAAACACAGGGCTCATCCAGATTTTGCTCAAAGTCAAACTTTTTTACGGTAGAGTCAAATCGGATGTTCCAACTCCTAGAAGTTTACTTAAGTCCAWATATGGATCGGTTTAATTTACATATCATGTGTTCCTGAGCCGCAGCTATAAAACCTTACGGTTGCTGCATATAGATATCTTCACTAAGATCTCCATTCAGGAATGCAGTTTTATCATCCATTTGCCAAATCTCGTAATCCCGGTATGTTGCTACAGTTAGCAGGATCCTAATGGATTTAAGCATGGACACCGGCAAAAAGGTTTCCTTCTTTCTGAGTGTGCCCTTTTGCCACAAGACGAGCCTTGTAGGTCTCAACCTTACCATCAGGGCCCTTCTTCCTCTTATAGATCAATTTGCAACCAATTGCTTTTACCCTAGAGGGCGGATCTACCAGAGTCCAGACTCCATTGGTCTCCATTGAGTCCATCTCAGCTCTCATGGCATCTACCCACTTCAAGGAATCTATGTCCAACATAACTTCCATATAAGTCATGGGATCCTCCTCACTGGTCGTGGCTTCCACCAAGTAATTATCCTGGTCATAGCCAAAATGAACTTGAGGCCTGGAAACCCGGGTAGATCTTCTAGGTTGGTCATGAACTGGAGGCCTGGAAACCTGGGTAGATCTTCTAGGTTGGTCATCAACTGGAGCTTGTGGGACATCTCCCACTACCCCTGAGCTCTCCTCATCAAGAACAACTTCTTAACGATGATTGTTCAAGATGTAATCATCTTCCAAGAAATAGGCATTTCGGCTACAAAACACCTTTTGCTCTCCTAGGTCATAGAATAAGTAACCCACAGAGCCTTTGGGGTAGCCTATGAATAGGCAACGACTGGTCTTRGATTCCAATTTGTCCACACTCGTTCTTTTAACATGTGCCGGACAACCCCAAATCTTCAAGTGTAAGACACTTGGTTTTTTACCGGTCCAAAGCTCATATGAAGTCTTCAAAACAAATTTGGTTGGAACCTGGTTCAACAAGTATATCATAGTCTCTAATGTGTAACCCCAAAAGGATGTGGGTAGCTCTGAGTGTACGAGAAGTGATCAGACCATATCCAATAAAGTCCAGTTCCTCTTCTCTGATACACCGTTTAACTATGGTGTAGCAGGAGGAGCTAATTGTGATACTATCCCATTGTCCTTTAAGTAGTCCCTGAATTCRTCAGAGAGATACTCGTCACTTCGATCCGATCGAAGGGTCTTAATTTCTCTCCCTAATTGCTTCTTGACCTCTTATCTGAACTCTCTGAACTTTTCAAAGGATTCAGACTTATGTCTCATTAGGTACACGTAACCATACCGTGAGTAATCATCGGTAAATGTTATAAAATAAACGTGCTGGTTATGTTTCCTAACACTCATGGGACCACATACATCAGTATGTATAAGGTCAAATGTGCTTGTACATCTTTCAAGCTTACCGTTAAATGGTCATTTCGTCATCTTACCCAAAAGGCAAGGTTCACAGGTTGGAAGATCTTCTACAGTTAGAAAATCCAAAGGACCATCATTTGCCAACCTTGTGATACGATCTATGTTAATATGGCCAAGTCAGTAATGCCACAGCTATGTGGGATTGACTGTATCACAGGTTCTTTTCTTGGGGATATCATCCGACGTAGTTTCAATTATGTTAGTTTCTAGAGAAGGATGTAGAACATAGAGATCATTCTCAAGTTCTCCGTATACGAGGAATTTGTTATTTCCTTTGATAGTAATC